GTTGCGATCTTCCTGCCTCCTCTTCTCTGGTCGCTGGGATTACAGGTGTGCACCACCACCACCAGCACAAAGGCCATCTTGATCCCCTTTCTTGTGTTGAGCAAGGTGCCAGTGACTGAAGGCTTTCCCACATGCCCTGATCTCCTAAGGCCTTTCTTCAACATGAATTTTCTTATGCTGAAGGAGGGTAGAACTGTGTTTGAAAGCTTTCCCACATTCTGGGCATTCATGAGACCTCTCTTCAGTGTGGAATTGCTGGTGTCGGTTGCGGTAGGACCTGGTGGTAAAGGTTTTCCCGCACAGGCTGCACTCATAGGGCCGCTCTCCAGTGTGAACTTTCCAGTGCTGATACAGGCCAGAACGGGTCACATAAGTCTTCCCACATTGCTCACATTCAAAAGGCCTTTCTCCAGTGTGAACTCTCTGGTGAAGAATGAAGCTATTGTTATATTTGAAGAACTTCCCACATTCCCTGCACTCATAGGGCCTTTCTCCATTGTGAACTTTCTGGTGTCGGATGAGAGTGGACAGAACGCTGAAGGCTTTCCCACATTTGCTGCATTCATAAGGCCTTTCTCCAGTGTGAATCCTCTGGTGCAGAGCAAGTGCATCTTTGCGGCTGAAGGTTTTACCACATTCACTGCATTTAAAAGGTTTTATGCCTGTGTGAACCTTCTGGTGTTTCCTCAGTTTAGAAGGGTAACTGAAGGCCTTCCCACACTCATCGCACACATGGGATGTTTCTCCAGTGTGAATTTTTCTGTGATTAATATGAGTTGATTTCTCCTCAAAGGCAGTTCTGCCTGTTTGGTACCTGAAAGGTTTCTCTTCAGAATGAGTTATCAAGTGGTCAAGGAGAGCAAAGGCCTTCAGGAAGCTTCTCCCACAGCTGCTGCACTTGAAGGGTTTCTGAGCAGCACAGACTCTCTGCTGCTGTCCACAGCTGGAGCTGGAGGGGAAGACCGCTCTGTGCCTAGTGCTCCTGCACAGCTTCCCAGGGGTGGCCTGGTGCTGGAGGAAGCCTGTGGTGACTGGGCCATCCTTCACAAACCTTTCATACACAAAAGGCTTCTCTGACAGGTCGACTCTGCAACTCTTCACTTGCTTGGGAGGGGCATCCTCATCCTTCATTCTACACAGACAACCTGAAGTCAAGAAAAAGCCCGTTGCTGGAGTTGGGCTGGAAGGGAGGTACCTTCATCACCAGTGCACATCTCACCTTCCCAGAAGGGACTCCAAAGAACTGCTATGAGTTTCTGGGAAAGGTCTAGAGGAAGAAAGTCTGGACAAGCAGAACTGGGCTCTACTGACCACAGAATCAGGAAGACCTGGATGGAGATGAGGACAGAAAATGGGGTGCAATGCAGGGAAGAAACCTGTGGTTACCAAGACACTTGTATCCAAAGGTTGTCAGCAGGGCCTTGGATGCTGGTGACAGTGAGCACTGTGAAGAGGCAGGTGTTTGTCCCAGCAAAACTGACTACGAAACAGCAGCTGGTCTTCAAAAAACATTTAAGGATATATCCATATCTCACAGGCCACTAGGTGAGGTTATCTAAAGCCTGAGAGTCATGGTACGGAGAAGGCAAAACTGCACAGTGTCCCAACGGAAAAGGAAGGAGGGAATAAGGCACAGTCACTGACCTCAACACAAAATGCCAGTGCACACAGGTATCCAGCATGCCATGAGCCTGTCAATGAAACCAAGGCATCCCCCTGCTCCACCAAGGAATACATTAACAAAAGAAGTTAAGTTTTGAACACTGAAAACTTAAGATGTTGAGAAAAACTAAAGAACTATATAAACGAGCCGACACCCCATTCTCTGATCTAGAAGACTTAGGATGGCAGTATTCCCCAGAATGAGGTACTGATTCAAGTTCACGCTCCGGCCTGGTCCAGGGAGGGCCCTATAGTTTCTTGTGGAAAAAGAAAGCAAACCTGGAGCAAGGAGGGACATGTCCTCAGCAGTAAAAGGGCCAGAGAGTCAGAGGTGTGTGGGATTCGGGGGTCAAACAGTGAAACAGTTGCCCCCCCAAATCCTGCTCCCCTCGGCTCTGGAGCCACAGGTGTTTACAGGCTGCTCGGAAAGAGGCAGAGAGAGGGCACAACCAGGCCTAGCCCTCACAAAACCTAAGACAGGGACCCCGTGGTCCAGGGGAAGGCCGAGGTGTCAGGGTGCTGGCCGTGAAGGAGAGACTTACCCAGGGAGCTGACGAGCGCGAAGTTCTGCAGCATCACATCACGGTACAGGCTGCGCTGGGCCACATTAAGGAGACCCCACTCCTCCCAGGAGAAGTGCACGGCCACATCCTCAAACATCACCAGGCCCTACAACGGTGGATTCCACTGAGACTCGAGTCGACCCATGGTGGGGGACTCTGCACCCACCCAGGTCCTCGCCCTGTGTCCCAAGTCACTCACGGGCATTGCTCTTCCTGGGGCTCAACCTTCCCCAACCCTCATACCTCTCCTCTTCCAAGGCCCCACCTCAGAAGGATTCGGCCCGTGTCACTGGTGCTTCTGAGCCCTGCGTCCGACCACAGCTGCGACAGGTGCCAGCGGCCCCACGCACGGCCCGCCCGATCTCGCGCCGGCCGCTGGCCCTCTCGGACGCGCCCCTCCCGGCGCAGGTGCCACCCCGGTGCAGGGCGCGGCCTCCAGCGCCTGGCCTCACCGTGCCTCTGCCTGGCGGCCCGGCCCCCTGCCCGCACCGGGCCCTGCCCTCGGCACGGCGTCCTCGTCACCGGACGCGGCCTGTCCCGGCGCTCACCTGCGCGGGGCCGGCCATGGGAACCCGTGCGCCACGTGGACACCTCCCGTTACCTGCCCTCCAAAAGCCGGTCTCCCGCGCCCGGTCCAGCTCGCCGGTGCCCAACGGCCCCACAGGCCGGAAGTCCCGCCCCGCCGCGCGGCCCTGGCCCGGGCGCCCGCCGTCTCCTCTGCCGCACCCGGCCCCCCGAGATCGGCGCGCGGGGGTGGCCAAGGCGACGGAGGAGGGCGCGGACTACATTTCCCACCCGCCACCGCGCCGCGCGCCCGTCCGTCTGTCCGTCCGTCCGTCCGTCCGGGCCCAGAAGGGCCCAGGAGTGGGCCCGGCGGCTGCGCCCTGGACGGCGCTCCGGAGGCTGCCGAGCCTCGGAACCGGGAATCTCGTGACTTGTGCGGTGAGCAGCTGCTCTTCAGAAAACACTTACGGTCCCAGGTCCTGGAGGTCGCACTGCTGGGGTGTCGCCGGGTCGCCCCCTGGGCGTAGCGTCCGCTCAGAAAGCCTAGGCTTGGGGTCCCGGGCAGCAGAGGATCGGAGGAAGATCGGCGGTCGGTTCCCCGCAGCAAAAGCGACAGTTGACCGCTGGTAGACAAGAGAGGGGTGCCAGGGAGTGTCCCCTGCGCTTGTCCTCAGCACAGTAGGCTCCGAGCCTACCCCATTTCCAGACATGGTGTCATTTCAGAGTTGGGGCCTGTCGAAGGAGGGGTGGCACGTGGTTGAGTGTCTTTGGAGACAGGGTCTTGGATATAGCAAAGTCAGGAGGCTGGCCCTAATTAAGATGTACTCATGGTCGTGGCCCTTGTCTCCTGGAAGGAGCAAGGCTCAGAGGAGCATCTGCCTGGGGCTGATGCTGAAGAACTGTGCACTCGCGACTTCAGGGCTCACTGTTTTCCTCTGCTTTTCCGGTGTTGCCCTTGGAAGTTGCCACTGGTGCTGGGATGAACACACTGCCACCTCCTATTCCTATCAGCTACATGAGCATCCTCACACATTCTACCCTGGGGTCATGGGTGGTCAAGACTGGGGGTACAAGTCTACATCTTCACAGCAGATGATGTCCAGCTCAGCCACTTTGTACAAACGTCAGGCACTGCCTGTACTAACATGGTCCATTTTGGGTCTACTGTACTCTTCCTGGGCGTTTCTCCTGGACGTTCAGTTTGTGAAGTTCAGTGTTGTGCTCAATGTACAGCTTATTCTTACCCTCTGGTGTTTGTCACAGGGTGTATTGGCCTCAGCTGGGCATATTCATAAAAATCTGTCATCCCCAAGGTCTGGCTGCTTCAACATTCCACTACCAAAATCAGCTGTGGCAGACAGGCCAAAAGGAGACCTGTCCCTGGTGACCATCCCTCAAGGTGGGTTGATCTCACATCTGCTTCCTGGTCCATGCCGTCTCAGATCTTGGTGAGTCCCTGACTCCTGATTTATTTTTCCATCCTCTTGATAGCTCTCTGAGTCTAGTCCCCTGGCTGTGCCCCTTCTCTCTTAGAGCTCAGCTGTGCAACATTCACCTTTCCTTAACTGTCCTGATCATACATCCTCTGATAATCCTTGCAGCTCTATTCCTCAGTGACACCTTATTGTCTCCAGTGGAGGTGGGCACAGCTGAAACTGCCCCAGCTCATGGTCAGTAGCCACATACTGACATAGGTGGGTTGTCTCACCTGGACTGGACTTTCACCAGCTTATTCATACCCCACAGGATTGTCACCTTTAAGCTCCATGAGTTTACCCAACTGGAGTACAGTCAAAGGCACTGATTCATGATCTAGATAGAATTGAAACCAGGGATAGCACGAGAGGTTCAGCTGTGGAGATTGAAACTGGTGGGGGGAGTCTCCCTGGGGTCTTCTTATACTGGTACCTGAGCTATCCTTCTCGTGTCTGAATGCCAAGGTCACTAGCCTTGCCAACTTTCAATCTTCCTCCTGATCTGCTGGACAGTCTACCTTCATACCTGCTTACTGATTCCTGTAACTGTCCTCTGCCTTGTTTTTGGTACCGGGTATTGAACCCAGGAGCACTTTACCACTGAGTCCTGTTTTTTTTTTTTTGATAGGGTCTTGCTAAGTTGCTGAGGCTGGCATTGAACTTGTGATCCTGCCAGAACCTTCTGAATCACGGGAGTTATAGGTGTTTACCACTGCGTTCGGCTCTCACTCCCTCTTACTGCCCAGTTCTAAGATGCTGGCCACTCCTTAACATGCTATGGACTGATACATATTTTTTTAAATATTTATATTTTTTTTAGTTTTAGGTGGACACAACGTCTTTATTTTTATGTGTGTTGAGGATCAAACCCAGTGTCCCGTGCATGCCAGGCAAGCGCGCTACTGCTTGAGCCACATCCCCAGCCCATTGATACCTATTTAGTCACTGAAAACTGTTAGTTCTGTGAAGAGAGTTTGTTCTGCCCCACCAAGGAGTAGGTCACATAGTGAGAGGCATCACACAGTTGGTCCTGAGCCGTGTCAGACAAGTTACCACTCTTAACCAGGTTCTCTCTTGAGCCTGCATTCACGGCTGTTTGTCCTGCTTCCTGGTTCCTCACTTTGGTTTCACTTTTCCCACTTCACATTTCAGGCTGAGTGCTTCCCTAGAGACTACAGAGTCTTACTAAAGAGGGGACAAGGTGACCCCTTCCTCTAAGGTACTCCACTGGGCACTGGCTGCTGGTGACAGCCAAGCATTGTGAAGATGCTTGTGTCACAGGGTGAGTGATGCTCTCCTGTAATCCCAGCAACTCTGGAGCCTGAGACAGGAGGATCGTAAGCTCTAGGCCAACCTGGGCAACTTAGTGAGATCCTGCCTCAAAATAAAAAGGACTGGGGCTGTAGTTTGGTGGTAAACACCCCTGGATTCAATCCCCAGTACAAAAAAAAAAAATCTCAGTTGAACAGGGGGCTGATTTGCATCAATTGTGGCAGCCTTGCTAAGTCTTAAGTTCCTTGTGTGAAAATTAAAACAATTGGTAAAAATGTTACACTGAAGCTCAATGGGAATATCTGGTTGGACCCAGATGAAATGAGTTCCCAAGGCCTCTGAGTCTCTCTTGCCAGCAGTAGTTTGCTCTTCAGTGTCTGAGAAAACTATCCCTGCTCTGCTTGAAAACCCGAGAGAAACTCACCTGGGCCACATGCCCATTCTCAGCAAGAGCCACATGACCTCTACCTAAGGCTGCTAGACCCATAACTAGGTTACATCTCAGCTTCTCGGGGAGAGAAAAATGACTTCACATGGAGAAACTTCAAGACTGCCATTAATGCATGGGTGGGAAACTGGAAAATGTGTGAGATGGATTCTAAGGTCAAGGAGGCTGGAATTTAATAACAGGGCTGACATTGTTGCGATTTACTAAAATTTCCAATTTGATGTTCTTGCTCAGTTGTGGAAGGCTTAAGAACTGGATTCACTGGTGGCCTGGAGTCAGTGAGACAGAGATGCCAGATCTCCCCTGGTGTGAAGTGGAGGGGAGGCCAGAGGCTTAGAAGGACAGGCTTGCTGGACTGGATTCATCCCGTGAATTGTCTTGTGCTCTAGTCATTAGCGAAATACTAACATCTCTGCTGTAATCCCCAGAACCTGTGACTATGTTATTTTACATGGCAAAATTAATTTGCAGATGGGTTTAAGGTTGCTAATCAGCTGCCCTTAAAACAGGGATTATATCCTGTATTATTCCTGTGGACCTTGGAAAGCAGAAGAGGAGCAGACTTGGTAGTATGTGCCTCTAGACCCACCTGCTCAAGGGTGTAGGTGACAGGATGGCTTAGCCCAGGAGTTTGTACCTGGGCAACACTGTGAGACACCATCTCGAAAAAAGAACACAAGTGAAAAAGTGAGAGAGACAATAATTAAAGAAAAAAACAAAAACAAAACTGAAGAGCGATTGAAAGCATGAGAGGAAACCGAACGGCCATTACTGACTCAAGACGGAGGAAGGAGACCACAAGCCAGAGAAGGCAGAGGCCTGTGGAAGGGGAGAATGGGGTGCACCGTGGGTGCCATGACTGACAGCAAAGGTCTAGGGAATCGTCTCCTGCGTGATGCAGATAGTGCTGGAGATGACTGGACAGTGAGTCTGCAAGCAATTCTAGACCCCAAGAAGGAGGACACAGCCAGAACCAACCATCTTAATGTGGACTTTCAATGGGTAGAACCCTATAGGTATCTGATACGAATCTCAGAGAAATGGAAAATTAGGAAACAATTTTTACAAAGAAACAGAAGGCAGCATTGCTGGAGCACATGAAAAATGCTGGGCCCAAAAAGCAGAATCTTCAAGCCAAACGAATACAAAAAAAAAAAAAAAATTGCCCAGAGCATGATGCTTTGGCAAAAAAGATCCAGCATCATCCAGACAGGCACAAGACACTAAAGGAACTGGAGGCTCTGAGGAAAGAATCAGCACACCTTTCACAGACTCAAGAAAGCACTGGAGATAAGCTGGAATTGAGACAGAAACAGCCTCATGTTCTTCTCATACCCTCTACACCATTCAGCAAACCCTGGAAAATGACAAAAAGCTCTAAGGCAGAAGCTCAGGAAACAAACATGGACAGGCTGATCCCCACTCCCAAGGGTACTGACAGAGCTTGGTGATCTTAAGTGTGTCTAGAATATGAAGCTTGGTGGTGACATACTGTGCTCTTACATATTAATGATAATTAATATTAAAAATAAATGAGGGGGATGTGGCTCAAGCGGTAGCACGCTCGCCTAGCGTGCGTGTGGCCCGGGTTGGATCCTCAGCACCACATACCAACAAAGATGTTGTGTCAGCCAAGAACTAAGAAAAAATAAATAAATGTTAAAATTCTCTCTCTCTCACTCTCTCTTTAAACAATAAAAAAATAAATGAGAACACATTTATTTTAATATAAAGGAAAACAGCTTCAGTGTATATTTGTTTTATTGAAATGAATTTTTCATTTTTAAAAGATAGGCAGCAACACCCACAATCATTTAATAAAGGTCTTCAAACTAGATGTTTTTGCTCATTATTATTCCAGATAGTTTGTTTTTTGGTACTGGGATTGGACCCAGGGTCACTCAACCACGGAGCCACATCCCAGCACTTTTTGTGTTTTACTTAGAGACAGGGACTTGATGAGTTGCTTAGGGCCTCACTCAAGTTGCTGAAGCTGGCTTTGAACTTGCAATCCTCTTGCCTCAGCCTCCTGATCTGCTAGGATTACATGCACCACTTGGGTAGTTTTTAACTGGTAACATTGATTCCTTATAAAATAAGTTGAAGATGTGAGAAGATGGCGTTTCTAGGATGTATGTAAGAAGATGAGTCAACTTCTAGAAACCACCACTTTGGAAAATGAAGTCCATAAATAGGCTTCAGAGGGGCCACGAACCTGTGAAATTCTGTGCAAAACGTGTGTGGTGTGCGTTTGTTGTGGGAGAGATTCTTTGATGCTGAGAACCACTGAGTGGTATGACCAAGAGCAGCAAAGCAAATCCATCCATGTTCACCACTTCCTCTTTGAAGAATGTGGTTGTTAAATGTTTTCTTATGTGCTTTGTTTCAACTGTTTGTCTTTAGGACTATTTTAATCAAAAAATATTTGAGGTGAAAAAAAAAGGTGAGAATGACCCTCGGGCTGGTGTCCAGCAAGGACATCAAGACCTTGTTGACAACCACCGGAAGCTGAACTCTGAATCCCAATGAGCAAGATTTCTTTCAGAGCCTCAGAAGGGAGTGCAGCCCTGCTGACACCTCAGTTTAGGTCCACTGAGCCCTGTGCGGGACTTCTGACCTCAGAAATAGAACTCTAAGGTACTACATCTGTGTTTTGTCTTAAGCTGTGAGATTTGTGCTGATTTGTTGTGGCAGCAATAGGAAACACATCACCATTCCCAACCATGCTCTACCAGAAGAGGAGGGAGGTTTCTTCCACTACTGTGATTGAGAAACTAAGAGAACTGCGGCCATGAAGATCTCTGCAGGCCAGTTATAACCAGAGATGCTGCCACTGGTGTGGTTCTTAACTATCCAGTACAGGTGGGCGCGTCTGCCAGTGGAATGCCTTGACCCGCAGGGGTCTTCAGTTGGTGGTTGATTGATTACAGTTCTCAAAAATAAATGAGAACCACAATAATGGGAAGTTATTCTCCACGTATGTATGATATGTTAAAATACAGTCTATTGTCATGCATAACTAAAAAGAACATATTTTAAAAATTGAAAAAGAAATTAGTGGGGCTGGGGCTGTACCTCTGTAGCAGAGTGCTTGCCTGGCACACACAAGGCACTGGGTTCAATCCCTAGCACCACATAAAAATAAAAATAAAGGCATTCTGTCCCTCTACAACTTCAAAAAAA